TTGAAGACTTCTCTACGTTCCCCTATTTCTTCTTTCAGCTCGTCATCCCACCACTTGACCGATACCCCACATCGTACCACCTCCTTTCCCACTACTCTCTCTGCCGTTGTGTTCACGATGGACTCCCACCCTTCAAGCACCCTGCCCCCTGCTGCTTGTACGTCTACCTGTCCGTCTTCGACCCTTCTCAGCAGTTTCCTGAAGGATTCTACACTACCACCAGCCAGTCCCTTCTGGAATTCATTCCGTGTCCCCTCGTCTCCCAAACGTTCTACTTTCCACCGGAACCCTTTCCTCTGTTTCTTACTTACTCTCCTACTTTCTAGATCGGTCGATGTTTGCCCATATGAGGAGGTAATCGGTCGAACCTATATCTATTGTACTTACGTGCAGCTCTGGAATCTGTGTGCTCCCCCTATCTACCAGGATGTAGTCGAGGATTGAGTATTCATTGCAAACTGCCCGTTGCCTTGTGAACTCCGGCTTATCGCATTCCCTCCTACCGTTCAACACCATCAGTTCGTTGCTNGATGTTTGCCCATATGAGGAGGTAATCGGTCGAACCTATATCTATTGTACTTACGTGCAGCTCTGGAATCTGTGTGCTCCCCCTATCTACCAGGATGTAGTCGAGGATCGAGTATTCATTGCAAACTGCCCTTTGCCTGGTGAACTCCGGCTTATCGCATCCACTTCTACCGTTCAACACCATCAGCTCGTTGCTTCCCAAGAATTCAAGCATCCTCACTCCGTTGTCATTCACTTTGTCTTCTCCGTGCTACCCGATCGCCTGTCCTCTCCTGGAAGCTTTCCCTACTCTGGAGTTGAAATCGCTACTTTGTAGGGGGATGCCCAAAAAGAGGCCAAGAATAGGCGCAAACACCCCAGGTTAGGCCCAGGCGCCCCGAGAATAGACGAAGGCGCCCCGAGATAAGGCGCAGCGGCCGGCTTTTAGGGGATTAAGATAAGCTGTGTTTTTAGGTGCAAGCTCTCAAAATTAGGCGTTGTAGGCAAGGCCTACGGAGCACAAGCCTAATCGTCTCATCGTCTAGATTTTTTTTTTTTTTTATTTTTTTGTTTGCGCTATTTCGCCGCCTTTTTCGGGGCGGATGTGTATCTCGCCGCCTTTTTTGTGGCTCAGATATCAGCTTGTTTCAGGATCGGGTCGGTTGGGGTTGACAGTTTTTTTTTAAGACGACGGTCGCTTGTCTCTCTCCATGGGATAGGTATTCAGGTAATTGTTCTTGAGACTGAAACTTGTTGTACGTCAGGGTACAGCGGATCGTAGTTGCACCGGTTGTCTCTCTCGCGAAGCTCTCTTTCATGTATGCATCCTTCTCTCCGTTTTGTCCCTCCGTCTCTCTCCCGGTCCCAGTCTATCTCCGCCGCAATGCTCACTCCAACCCAAAAGCACAGACATGAGAATTGAGAACGCGCAGCCAACCCTCTAGTCTTCACTTCACCAAGTAACCCTGCGCCAACGTCAATTGGTCTCTTCACCAAATAATCCTGCCATCTCCAAGTAATTGTAAGATTAACAACATTCACCAAGAAACAACACACACACATGGTCAGGGCCAATCGGTTGGGATCTCTGCGACAACGATAGTAATGAGGGTAATTATTTTGGGAGTGACGGAGACGAAGGAAAGGGGGAAGAAAAGAGAACGAAGACGACGATAGAGGAGGAAAATATGGAGGAGTGGAAGAGAGTAAACGGTTTGAGCCAGATGACCTTCCCCAAAAGAAAAAACGTAGGACTAGGGAAGAACTGCCCAGAGATTCTTGTCAAAATGAGGATCAGAATGATGGTAGCGAAAACAAGGAGGATAATATTGAAAGTACTCCTAATAGAACTCGAGTACAAGGAAATAGCCTTGGTAGACGCGTGCAGTTTTCTTCTGTTGCTGCTGTTTCTGTCTGTGATCCGAAGGATAGTGTAGCCTCCCCCATGCTGCCCCCTCACGGGGTTCCAGTTCATGGCAGATAGAAGTGTTTTGTGTTTTCAACCGCACTGAGACTGACGTCTTTTCATTGTTCAGTCGGTTTGCGCGGTCGATGCTATTAATAAAAACACACACATGGCCGGCTACAATACTTGAAAAACACTGGCAGGCAGTAGGACAACTTTCGCGTCTCTTTATCTTCGTGAAAAACGAAAAACGGTTTTGATAACCAACCCCAACTCAATCAATCAAAACGCCGTTTCTTTCCTAAAATATCATGTCTACCAAGCAAGCAATACACATGCCAACAACCACGATTCACCTACTGGTACCACATATATATGATTTACACAGGCGAGAGACGTGACTCATCAATCTACTACAATTTTCTCCGAAATGATTCTCTTCCATGCATCCGCCTGTCCCTCCTCCACCAAACCCGGCCGAACGGCTACCATCTGAAACTGTCGCCTGTGCAACGCGTGCTCTCCCCGCTTAAAAAACCTGCCACGGTTTAATTCACCATCACAAGGGGCGGAAACAAGCGTTTGCTGAGAAAAACAAAAAAGAGTGGGGACAGAGAGGGCGAGGGCGACACACGCAAGTGACGACAAGAAACGCAGCACAAAGAAAAAGGAGGTAGAGACGAGACCATAATCAAATAACTGAGAGAGGGAACGAGACGCAAGGAGAGAGAGAAAGAGAGAGAGAGAGAGAGAGAGAGGCCGCTCGGTGTTGCAGCAGGGTCGATGATTCAATCCTGCCGCTCCGCCTACCTTCCCCACCGCCCCTTCTGCGTGTCATCAAGCGCATCGCGGATTGGCCCTCCAGCGTGCGAGGGATCGAACACCAACAGGCACGCTGCCTGCCGACTACCGGCCCCGCCGCGCCCCCTCCCACCGCGAACACTTCCACCGCCGGAGCCCCCGCCCCTGTCTCGTCGATCCCCACTGCTTCCTCCTCGCTGCCCCGCCCCCCCGGGCCGCAGCACGCCCACGATGGATCGTGAATGCCCATCGTGCTGAAAAAAAACACAGTTGAAGGTTCATCCGCATGACAAGCCAGCGGTGCATACGAAACAGTCTGTGGGTGTGGGAGGAGGGGGGATCAAAGGACGCTCCACAGTTGCTACTTGATTAATGTGGACGTTCACGGCGACACGACAAAATCGGTAAGAAAGGCATGCGATATGATGAGCGCCAGGGGAAAATGTAAAAGATCAACGTCCATGTCAACTTCAACGTCAATGTCAGCGAGCTACAACGAGATCGTAGCGTTTATCCGAAGCGGCGTTTTGCCCATCCAATAACACCAAGGCGTTTGGAAGGGAAGGAAAAGACGTCTCAACCCACACGTCCTCCCACCTGAAAGTATAGCGGAGGAGGTGGGCGTGTCCATGCCTCCGCTCGGCACTCAGTAGCAGTACCACCCGACCCCGCCCCTCCACAGGCATTGCCGCCACTGCTACCCTCGGGTTCTCGCAGCTGCGACGGTGGTCGTGACGGCGGCAGCAGCAGCTCAGCACCTTTGCCCCCGTCGCCGATCGAGGAAAGACCTCCCTCCGCGGTGCCCCACGGCGTGCAAAAGTATTCCCAGGCCCATGCAGCCAGGGCCTTCCCCATCCTGTCGCCCGCGTCCTTCCCGATGTAACCGTTCTTCCTGTGTGCTCCACCTTTCCCCCCGCGGCCTCCCCACCCGCGGCCACCCCTCCCGCCTCGCCCACCCCCCCCCCCCCCCCCCCCCC